TGTCCTAAAGAGGGTTATAATTATTAAAGGTACTAAAAAATCACTTAATGAATCAGAAATTAATAAATTTAATTGATAAACTCTAAATGAGTATTCCAAATTATACTTTTTTTTTTTCCTTTTTGTCTTTTTTACTGACCGGCAACGGGATCGCGACCCTCAGTGTCGTGCACGCACCGGGACCGGCAACGGGATCGCAACCCTCGGTGTTGCGCCCGCACTGTGCTCAACCAGTGAGCGGGAACTGGTCTCCACATGGGATCCGAATCCTTGGCGGGAGCGCCGCCACACTCCCAAGCGGCGCACTCCCCAGTGCGCCACAGGGCCGGCCCCCAAATTATACTTTAAGCCATACTGTATTGAATGTTTTTATTTTTATTTTCAATCCAAAATGATGTTTTGAGCAATCCTTTTGGCCACAGGATGAATGGATGGGCAATTGTGAGTACCCCTTAATTTTTTTCATTGCCTTAACTATGGGGAATTCAAAACATTTTATTTTTTCAACCACAGATTAAACTCTGGCAAAAGCATCAATTGTTTTTTCCCTATCTAGTTCACACAGGATCTTAAGAAACTGTATCTTGAGTATGGGGAATAGGATTCTTGCACAGTGATCCCAATCAAGTCCAAAGCCTTAACGACTTGGCCATCACTGCTGTGATCTCAATCAAAGTTGTTGTGACAGATGTAGACCATGGTATCAATCTCAAGTTAAGTGGCTAGTGATGTACCCTTGAAACATCTCCTCTTCTTAAGGACTACTCACTCAAAAATTTATGCAAATTCCTTTGGGATATGACACTAGAATGCCCTGAACATTGTGGCCAATAGATAGGCAAGTATTTGAAACAAATGCCAAATTCAATCAGTACCTAGATTGACTAGACAATCAAGTTCAGAAAAAACCTAGGTGGGAATGATACAAGATCATCTACCTAAATCGGGTAAAGTTCACATGGGTGGCAAAATTACGTCCATCTGTATGAAATGGGCTTGAGTTTCCCACTGTCATAGTGACTTAGAAAAAAAGGCTCATTTGTCGGGCCAGCCCGTGGCTCACTTGGGAGAGTGTGGTGTTGATAACACCAACGCCATGGGTTTGGATCCCATACAGGAATGGCTGGTTAGGTCACTTGGGAGAGCAAGGTGTTGACAATACCAAGTCAAGGGTTAAGATCCCCTTACTGGTCATCTTTAAAAAACAAAAAAACAGGGCGGGCCCGTGGCTCACTCGGGAGAAAAAAGAAAAAAAAAGAATATGCAATTGAGTTGAGATTTATAACTGGTTTCTTTTGCAGTTAGGCAGTATGGGTACCTCAACCCTTGTCCTGGTGTTATAAGACTGTGCTCTAGCCAACTGGGCTAACTAGCCAGCCCCTGATTTATGATTTTAATTTATTTATTTTATTTTTTTTTTAAAGATGACTGGTAAGGGGATCTTAACCCTTGACTTGGTGTTGTCAGCACCACGCTCACCCAGTGAGCAAACCGGCCATCCCTATATGGGATCCGAACCCGTGGCCTTGGTGTTATCAGCACCGCACTCTCCCGAGTGAGCCACAGGCCAGCCCCCTGATTTATGATTTTAGATGGAAAGGTATGAGACTACATTAGAATAATTTGAGAAATTTTAAGACTCATTATATTTGTGACTTGAATTTCTTGAATTTAGAATTATTTACATACCTGGGAAGTTTTTTTTTTTTTTTTTTGAGACCAGCCACAGGGCGCTCAGCCAGTGAGCGCAGCGGCCATCCCTATACAGGATCCAAACCCGTGGTGGGAGCGCCGCTGCGCTCCCAGCGCCGCACTCTCCCGAGCGCGCCACGGGTTCGGCCCTACCTGGGAAGATTTTAAGGTGCTCAAAAATAATAAAACATTAAATTGATAAATGAATACTAAAGTTGGAGAAATTTATCTAACTTATAATAGGGACAGATTTTTTGAAAAGAGTTTAGTTTGTTTAGCTTGAATTTATCTCAATATTAGTGAAGGTGATTTAAAAATTTTAGCTAGATTCATAAATAAAAACATTTGTAGAGCTGACCGGTTAGCTCAGTTGGTTAGAGTGTAGTGTTGTAACACTAAGGTCAAGGGTTCAGATTCCCATACTAGAAGCTGCCCCTCACCCCCAAATTTTAAATCTGGATTTAAAATATGCTTCCTTGTATAAGTTAAAAATTAATTTTAAAAATGTGGCTGGCTGGCCCGTGGCTCACTCGGGAGAGTGCGGTGCTGATAACACCAAGGCTGCGGGTTCGGATCCTATATAGGGATGGCCGGTTCGCTCCCTGGCTGAGTGTGGTGATGACAACACCAAGTCAAGGGTTAAGATCCCCTTACCGGTCATCTTTAAAAAAAAAAAAAAAATGTGGCTGGCTGGTTAGTTCACTTGGGAAAGCATGGTGCTGGTGACACCAAGGTCAAGGGTTCAGATCCCCATACCAGCCAGCAGCCAAAAAAAATAAAAAATAAAATAAAATGAATGAAAGTAAGAAAAATAGTGTTTTCTCTTTATAAAAGTCATATGTAAACATAAAAAAACCTTCACATTGGCAAAATATATGTAATTTTCAGACAAATTCTCTAAGTATAACATCCATTTTCTCCTCTACCTCAGGCTCTGTGTTTATGCTGTGGCCTCTTCTCCATGATGTGCAAGACAGAATAATGTTCTTGATGGTGACCAATGATCTTTTGCTGCAAATGACTTGAGAACAAAATGATGAAGGGAAATTAATTTACAAAGAAAGTCCACAAACCAAAGTGAGAGAGGTTTTGCAAAGTGAATGAAAAGCATATTGGGTTTTCTGTTTTTTTTTTTTTTTATTGCTGGTGGGTATGGGGATCCGAACCCTTGACCTTGGTGTTACAATACCAGCATATTAGGTTTTTGATATTTTCTTTTAATATAAAAAACTACTTTTGATCTCTTACTGGCCAGCCACCAAAAAAACCCCAAAACCAAAACAAACAGAAGATCCTTTGTTTCAGAGACTGAGTTTTCCAGCTGGTGTTTCTTGATTGTCTGCTAAATTGCCAGATTGACTCTGATGGTCCTTGAACAGAAAACAATTTAAAGGATCTTCAATCAAGTGACTTGGAGCTTAAATCCTTCCTCTTCCCAAATAAGAAATCTAGAGGGTAAGGTCAAATTCTGCCCTGTCTTGTTCACAAGCAAACCAAAAAATTAAGGGTCACCTTATGCACTGATATTTACACAATAAACAAGTCAGAACACTGCAATTACAGAGGGGAAAAGGCGACAAAGCAGCTTGTTTTTTCTGATATCTTATACTTCAATTTGCTGTGATGATTTTCTTTTTTCTTTTTTTTTTTTAAAAAAAAAGATGACCGGTAAGGGGATCTTAACCCTTGACTTGGTGTTGTCAGCACCACGCTCACCCAGTGAGCAAACCGGCCATCCCTATGTGGGATCCGAACCCTTGGCCTTGGTGTTATCAGCACCGCACTCTCCCGAGTGAGCCACAGGGCCGGCCCTGCTGTGATGATTTTCAACACTTACAAAATAAAAAGAGGTTCTGAATTTTCTGGAAAAGGTTTAAAGGAGTATTACTAACTACGAAGTATCTATTAACCCTCTATGATAAACTGTTACCTCCATGGAAAGTTAACCTGAGAGACAAAGTGTTTTAAGATTTTCATTTCCTCTAGATAATTTTGTTTAGCAATAATAGAAGTTAACTTTTGTTTGAGGAGTAAATATTTGTCAGGCATTTTGCAAGTATTATATTATTTTACCTTCACTATACTACTGAGCCTGCATTCATTCATTCATTCATTGAGTGTCCACCTAGCTAGGCACCCTCTGCTTACCTCTGGGAACTCAGTAGTGAGCATTACATGTCTTCGTCAGTCTCAAGAAGCATAGCCTAGCTAATTTTATCACCCCCTTTTTATAGGAGGAAGTGGAAGATTTGCTTCGAAAGGTTTACTTGCTCAAATACACACAGTGTTGGAGCACTACGAACCAAACTATCTCATTTCCAATTTTTTTTGCCCTCGATCATTAGGCTGTTTATAGAATTCTATTACAATAGATTTTTGCTTTGAAGACATCTTCCTAATTTTTCTTTCAAACATTTTCATCTGGGAGGAAAAAACTCTATAGTCAATGACCTCTTTACTCCCCCTTCTTTTTCACAGTAGTGGCCAAAGAATAACTACCAGGCATCTGGGAGACTTCGGGGACGAGGAGCCAAGTCCCAGGGGCGAGGGGGACATTTTTAAAGAAACAATAGTAATCCTGACACAAGGCCAGACTAAATTCGCGGGGCACAAAGCTGATCCACTGCCAAGGGAAGCATAGTTTGTTTTTCTCCACCTTCTCTTTGCTTTTCTCTAATATTTCCAAGGATGTTTCGAAACTCTACAGTCGAGGCCACACCTGGTCCATTCGCTCCAAACGGCAAGAAAATTTAATTTTTATTCTGCACTCCTAGCTCCCTATCCCTACAAGGGTCTTTTCTTCTTGCCTTCTCCCTTTTATGCTTTTCCCTTCTTCATCTTCGGAGGATAATCTAAATATGACCGTTTTATCCTATCGCCACACGGACTATATTGCCTTATGGCGACCTTGACAGCCATCAGAGTAGGAGGCCGGAGGCGGGGCGGTGGGCTGTGAGGGGAAAACCTTCAGATGGCTGCGAAAAGGCGCGACGAGGCGGGGCGACCGAGGAGCTCCACTCAGCGTGGAGTTCTCTGTAAGATTGAAAGGCAGTGCATCAATTGTCTTTGCCCTAGAGACCTGAGCCTTCTCGCGAGATTTGGACGGGTATCTAGAGGGGGGAGTCAAAGGCGCCTCTCTGGATGGGGGATGGGAACGTCTGTGGCGCAATCATTGCGCGAGATTGAGCCACTGTCGCTAGAGCCATACTTAGATCTCGCGATATTTTGTACGCTCGGGCCTGCAACTCGGGGCAGGTTCTCGCGAGAGCCCGTGCTGAGGGCTCTGGGAGGCCCCGTGTGTTTGTATGTGTATGTGTGCTGGTGAGTGTGAGTACAGAGAAGCTGCGGCCGCCATTTCACGGAGCTTGCCGACGTTGTCGCAGGGGTGGATCCTGAGCTGCCGAAGCCGCCGTCCTGCTCTCCCGTGCGCGCTTCTCTAATCCCATTGTTTCTTTTAGATTTGCTCGGGCCTAGCCGTCCTCGGAGCCCGACATTCGGGCTGGGCGGTAGTGGGGCCTGGGCCTAGGGGTTTATCAGTAGTAAAAGCGGCAGCGGCGGTAGCAGCAGCAGCAGCAGTAGCAGTTATTTCTTCCTGAATACGAGCACCACAGGCTCCCGAAAGTCCGCACAGGTAGGGGGGCGTCGCGGACTCGCGTATTGTCAGAGTTTTTCCGACGTTTGGTTCTCTTGGCTGAGGGATACGCCTGGAGGATTTTAGCGACGGGGAGGTGATTGGTTCCCGAGAAATCGGCCCCATTTCGGCGACCGCGCCCTTTTTTCCTGTCTGGTAGAGCAGGGATTCTTGGGATGGCAAGGACCCCCGAGGCGCCTCGGGCAGATGGCGACCTGCCCGTTCGAGGCCTGGGGCGGCCGCGACCTCCCAACATGGCGCCAGTCGAACGCTGCCTTGGCACACAACCCCTCCCAATAGAGGGAGTTTCCCTTTGCCCCTAAAATGGCAGCGCGGGTTTTGCGCGGAAAGAGGCACTCTTGCTCGAGTCTCCCAGGTTCAGTTTGCGGAGTTCATTGCAGCCTTTTTAGAATCGAACATGTTAGTCTCTATTTTCGTGTAAGAGGCGTTTCAAATTTACTTACACAAGCTAGCTTGTTAAAATGTGTCGTACCTCTTTAGTCATTGTAGAGCTTTTGAAGGTTTTTTTGGAGTTTTGGTGTGTGTCGGCTAAGAACAACATCAGAATTGAAAAATATTTATTCACAGAATTGTCTTGTTCTTTTCCTAGGCGTTTAGAGAAAATGGCAGACGATATTGATATTGAAGCAATGCTTGAGGCTCCTTACAAGAAGGTGAGAAAAAACATGTCGGTGAGGTTTATATGTTTCTTAATTTAGCATTATTCACGAAACTACTGCTGAAATGTAAACTAACCTCCCCGGAGCCCTCTTGATTTATCTTATCAGAGATGCATTGCGTGTAACTTACAAAAGTAAATATGTGCTATTGATGTAATAATATTGTGCAGTAGTTTCACTTCAGCGTGATGAATAAATGCCCATCTATCTCTCTTTGTAGACTTGCCTAACGATATCTCACCTCTACTCCCATGAATTCACCTTTGATTCCAGTGTGAACTGTCAATCATAAGGTAGTAATTGAGTGACTTATCGCTGTACCGTGGTCCCCTAGGTAAAATGACTCAACTAAGAATTACCAGCTCAAGTTTGGTATAGCAAAAAGGTGAATGTAGTGGTTTGGGAAAATAGCAGGGGTCCAAGAATAACAAAGTATAACCAGTCTGTGGCAAGTAAATCTTTCAATGAGAAGAAATGGGTGAGATTTAAAATTTTTTATATATTTATAAAAAGACTGGTGATAGTATATCTTAAAACAGGCAGTTGGTGATCTACTGCTCAGTTAATTTCTAAAATTCTTGGATCCCTGGAAAAAAAAAAAAAAAGAGGCAGTATTACAGCTTAGAGTCACTTGATGACTGTTTTACTGTTCTCTGTATTGTTTTACTTTTAATTAGTCCCTACCATAGAATTTCACCCTAAAAACTACAAAGGAGTTATTGTGGCTAATATAGTCTTTGACCCATTTCACTATCGCAGTAAAAGTAAACTGTCTTTTCATTCTTTCACCAGTTGGTGGTGAAAATAGCAGTATGCATGCATTATCACTGGTGTCAAACTGTAAGCTTTGTAAGTTAGCAGTTATACTTCTATAGCTGATGTGATCAACATTAAACATTGCACTAAACCTTTAAAAAATACATTTGTTTTGGAGTATATAGCACGACCATGTGGTACCAATTTGGATGAATTCTTAATAGCTTTAAATAGTGTATGTAATTTTGTAATGCTTAGACTCTTGAAGAGCTGCTTTCTGTTTTAATGTTAAGATTCTTGTGTCTTAATTTAACATGGATTTAGTTCCATGTAAACAGGTATGGAAGTAGGAAATGTTTAGGCTGGACTGGTGGATTATTAATTGACTTTCTTGGGTTCTTGGGAGTCAACATTACTAAAGCAGTGTGAATCCCTGTTTGCTTCAGGGCGAGATGTGTGACAGAGGTGGCATCAAGCTCTTACAGTCCCAACCCTCCAACGGAAATGGGCGAAGATCTCAGGAATGGCATCGGTCACAGGAAATCGATAGTGGCTGGCTGCTAGCATGGCCACTTGGGGCTTAGGCAGAAATAGAGCCATGGTACTGACCAAAGGGACCATAGCACATGGAATAAAACTCAAAACAGGACTTTATTCATGTTTTACAGAAATTATATTTAACCACTTCAACATTGTAAATCTGGATAATTTAATATCTATACTATATAACAAAGTAAAACTTAACATGTTAATATGAATTTTTATTTTTGTATGTTGATGACTCAATTGTAAGCAACAAAGTGGTTAAACACATACCTATCTAAATTTTTTTATAGCCTTCCATATTAAACTATTAATAAGTAATTAGTTTTAAAATTGTTTTGTATTTTCTTATTCCTGTTCCCTTTACCCTTTGACAACTTGAAATGTTACCACTTCGTCCTCATGATGTTCTTCTATCAACCCTGCTTAGGATGAGAACAAGTTGAGCAGTGCTAATGGCCATGAAGAACGTAGCAAAAAGTAAGTTTTAAAAAGGGACTGGGGGTGGGGTGGTGAGCTGTATGTGACTGAGATCTTAAATTGTGTTTCTGTGTTTAAAGCATCAAACTAAGGTTCTCTTTTGAAGCTTTTCTTTGCCTCTTTTAGGAAATCGGTTCTTTACCTTTTGGGACCAGAAACTCTTTGAGGATATAAAACTATGGACTTTTTGCTTAGATTTCAGGGTATGGTTTCAGGGACCATCTGGACACCTTCACCTTTAAGTCTGTCATGACAATCTGGTTAAGAATTCCTATATTAGAGCTTGTCTTTTGTTTTAAATTTGTTAACTTTGGCTTAATATTTGGTGATTTTATCTATAAAACTATCATATCTGTTGAACTTAAAAGGGAGAAGAAGAGTTAAGTTAGAAAAGATAATAACCAGGTCATGGGAAGTATGAGTATTTGCCCTAAATCACTGAAGGAATCTGAACTGTGAATTATTTCTGCTCCTTGCTGCTTAAAGGCCCTTTTCGTAGTAATGTGAAAGCATACTTAAGTACTTTTTAACTTGGCTTTCATTGTCTTGTGCCTTTTAAACTCTAGTAGGCTTAATGGTGAGAATAGAGTTTTTGAAAATTGTGAATATTTATTCAATTTATTTGAGTTAGATGAGTAACCCATAGTGGGAACTCTGTGCTGTAGAACAGTACAGAATACAGTGTACAGAAAGTCTAAGTAACGGTTTAAACCAGATGTACTTTATAAGGTTGGGTCCCATCAGTTCTTGAAGTTTCCTTTCAGCTCTGAGGTTAGTGATTCTTAATATCATGTGGTCATGTTACAAACATTAAATTATTTTAGTAGACTCTGTTTATGTCATATTTAAACATTTTGTCGTATTCATGACCCCATAATACATAATGAAAATTGATGGTAAAATAGCCACTTATTTTATTATTTTTGGCCCTTTTCCTCCTACGAGCTGAAAGTGCTTCATGATAACTACTCAGTCATCCTCACGGCTGTGTTAGGTAGGTAGATATAATTCAATAAAATAGATGAGAAAATTGTCAGATTGGATTATTCAGGGTCTGCTAAGCCAGTATTTCCGTTTTGTAATTCTCCTAAAATAATGGGATGGTAATGGCCTAAAAATGATAGTTTGTGGAAAATGTCCTTTTTTAAGTGCTAGCTTGAATGGGAGTCATAGTTCTTCACTAGCCACAAGTGGATGTTGGGATCAGATTGGGTTTAGTCTTGAATTGCTGTGGTTTGAGACTACCAACAAATTTCATCTGGTTTTAGACCTTTTACCAAAGTAACAATTTCCTAATGTTTCTATTTTGCAATTTTGTATTAACAAGAAAAACCAGGAAGTGGATAGCCATATAGATTGATTTAAATTATCCAGTCTAGGTGCCAGGCTTTTAGGAATTGAGTAAAGATTTCACCTTAAGTGCCAAAAGGATTAGGACATAAACTTTGGGTATGCAAACCTTCTTTTTTTTTTTTTTTTTTAAAAGATGACCGGTAAGGAGATCTTAACCCTTGACTTGGTGTTGTCAGCACCACGCTCACCCAGTTAGCAAACCGGCCATCCTTATATGGGATCCGAACCCATGGCCTTGGTGTTATCAGCACCACACTCTCCCGAGTGAGCCACGGGCCGGCCCCGCAAACCTTCTTTATTGTACCATTTTCCAGTGTCACTCCTTGCCACTAAGGTCATCTCCAGTTTATACTTGTTTTTATCCTGCATCTAAGCTCATTAAGGCTTTAAGGAAATTGAGCATCAATCTCTCCATGAGTGATGTTTAGTGGCCTTAATCTAATGTAAAGAATCCTATGGGACTAAAATACAAGAATGGATGATTTTCTTTAATTGGCCATAGGATTTTTGGTTTAAGAGAAGACTCTTTCAAAACTGTCTAGTAATCTTAAAATGTACGAAAAGATTTCTCTGTTAGACTTCTTATCCTCAATTATAGCTCATTAAAAAATGGCTCCCTTGTTCAATCAGGAGATTTTCATCCATTTTTCTGAAGGAACTTTATCTTTCAAATTAATTTAAAAGTTACTTGGAAGAAAATTTTTCTATGTAGGGATAGGAAAAATATAAAACAAGTAAAATGTTCTGCCTGTGCTTTGGTATTTAGTATAAATTTTCTTAACCAAAGGAAGGTGCAGTGTTGCCTTTTTTATCCTATAACATTTTAATAGCCATTGAATGTTGAGATACTGTTTGCAAGGTAGTAAGAAAATACACGTTTTGAGAAATAGAGTTGATTAACTGTATAAATGTTTTCTTTTAAAAAATATTAATTCTGATTTTCAACACATACACTTCATTATATCCCAGTATTAGTAAAAGGAATTAAGGTTAATATAACACAAATGGGTTATCAATTAGCCTTCTTTCTGAAGAGCTATAACCCTGAGTTTGGCAAGACCTCAAAGTATGTTTTTTAAGTATCTGAGGTCACCATCCTGGGAATATTATTTATTAGTGTAAACAGTTTTGTAAAGTCTAAACCAGCATCCATTCCGTTAAGCTCTCTTTTAGAGAATTTAAAAAGAATAACAAAATAACACAGTTGAAATATATTGGCTACTGTGGTGTGGATTATCTATAAATTTTGGAATAAATGACTTTTCTATTTTTTTTCTTATTTTCCAGAATACTTTGCATTTAAAATTTAGATCTTCTTTCATGGAAGAGGTCAAATCCAGTTATAGCAAAACACCTTTACAGCAGAGGCCATATAACCAAAAAATCCAAAGGCCCAGCCCAGTGGACCATTTACTTCAATGATGTTCAGTACAAAATTCCACTGCCACTAAAGACTTTGGAAAGTCCTTTTTTTAAGTTGTAACAGGATTTGACTATTAGTGTGGATTTTGATAACCCTTCTGTAGTTAATGTTCTTTGAAGCTGGAATTTGCTATTGAGAAGTATACTGGTTTCTTGCACCCTTAAATTTTTGACTGGGCTTTTATGCAAAAGATTGTATTTTCCAAATGTCTTAGTATGGTGCTGTCTTTTTTTTACCTGTCTGGGGTTGCCTTCAGATGTGGGTGGGGACTCATTTACAGAAAGTCCTAGGAAGACCTTAAGTTAAAATTAGCTCTCCAATTTTCAAGTCTTTTCTTTTGGCAGAATAAGTTTGGGGCCTATGAGAGGTAAATAGGGAGATAGGCTGCCTCTCTGCTATAGGCCATCTACGAGCAGATCAAAAACTTTGCCTTTTTTTTTTTTTGTGAGGGAGCGAGTTACTTTTTACATTGTCCCCTAATTGAATTGGTTATATTTAGGACTTCGGTCTTAGCCATCTTGCAGAATTCTTTATTCTTAGTGATATCGTCAGATTTTTCAGGCAACAAAGTTGGAATGCTATCCGTTGCCCATTTGGGCATTGCTTTGATGACTTCTATATAAGTAATGAGTGTAGCCTAACTTTCTGTCATGTGCTACTTAGCATATACATTTCTGACAGTCAGGTGGATTATCTTGAAATTTTAGACAAAGTTTCTGCCTCCTTGGAAAGCTCTACATCTCCTTGTGATTGGAGTGTGGGTTTCAAGATTCCAGAAGGTGGGTGTCTTCATTTTCTATTTTAAATGCACTCTAAGATGACCTGTTTACAGGTTCTCTGAGGCAGACCTCAATTGCTCTTGTGCTAAGTTTGCTTCAATAAGGACTAAACATTTAATTAAATTTCCAAATGATGTAGAGTTGTCAAAATGTTTCATAATCTTTTCTCTTCAAATCTTCTCTACAAATTGACATTTTAGTGGAATAAATTTATATTGAAATGTCTTTCAATTTATATTGAAATATCTGAAGGCACCTCTAAAATTTGGGTGATGACACAGGTATAGATTGTTAACATTTAATTATGAAATGAGTCAGTGGTATACTGTGAAGAATACAGAAACGACAGAAAGATATGACTGGTTTTTTTTTACCTTTCACAGTTTGAGATTTTTTTAAGGATTTATGAAGGTCAAGTTGATCCTTGTTTTTGACTGTACCCCACAGGCTTGTATAAACTGGCTTGGAAAAAAATAACTTACCCCATTTTCTGGTGTACTCATTATAACTTTACATAAAAAGTATTTGAAATGGTCACATTAAGGTCTCGAAGTGTGAAAATGCATTTTCCTGCATTAGTTCTTAGTGTCCTTTGTCATTGTAATTTTGCCCTTGAAAACCAAAATGTGATGTCTATATGGCCCTTTGAAAGTATAAAATATTCCAGTGTGTAAATTGGGTCAAAATTGACTTATGAATTTATGTATATGAACCAGTGCTAGACTTAAATGTGAATATATTCTGTTGTAACTTTGATTTTATTACTCTATCTTATAGATTACAGTAATGTTGTTGGCCTGTTAAATGATGGCCAAACGTAATTTAAAAGTTTAGGTTTTGATTTATACCAGCCAAAAAGTCCTGTTCCTTTTTAAAGCTGTAGCTGACTCTCTGGAGATCATTGCAGTTCCTGCTCTGAAAGGATGGTGTCTCTCAAATAATTTGACTGTTGATTTTCAGTAATATAAGGCAAAGGTGGGGTGTTGTTTATCATACCTAGGAATTGTTTTTCTGTAAGTATGATTATGTACCAATGGATGGTAGTAAAACTAGCAAAATAAATTTTAAAAGGGTAAAAAATTCTGACCGTAAACGGAAGTATATTTTGGTGGGGTTTTAAACGAGCAAGATAATAGTGATTTTTTTTCTTCTCAGGAGGAAAAAAAGCAAGAGCAGAAGTCGTAGTCATGAACGAAAGAGAAGCAAAAGTAAGGAACGAAAGCGAAGTAGAGATAGAGAAAGGAAAAAGAGCAAAAGCCGGGAAAGGAAGCGAAGTAGAAGCAAAGAAAGGAGACGGAGCCGCTCAAGGAGTCGAGATCGCAGATTCAGAGGCCGCTACAGAAGTCCTTAGTATGTAACTATAAGGGATTTTGGTTTGAGGGTCATTCTCTGGGTATTCAGATAGCAATTTATTTTGAAGGATTTGAATTGTGAAATTTTATTTTTCAATGATTAGTTAAAAAGTATTAAATTAAGGATATTGGCATTGAAGACTATAAAAGTGAAAATAGTATGTTGACAAATACATAAAACTTTTTATTTTACTAAGCATACAGCTTATTTTCTGTTAACCCATCTAATCCAATAGTATGCCAATCTAATCTAGACTAAAGCATTAGAAAAAAGATAAGTGTAGTGCCAAATATTTGAGAAAGCTTAAGGTATGTGAGCTATTACAGTATTCTTTTTTTATTTCTCAGCTTCTGGCTTTGTATGGGGGTCCAAACCCTTGACCTTGGTGTTGCCACACTGTGCTGTAACCAACTGAGCTATCCAGCCAGCCTACAATATTCTCAATTAAAATTTTAAAGTTCAGATGGATACTAACTTAAAAATGTGTAATTAGTGCTGGCCAGTTAGCTTGCTTGGTTAGAGCCTGGTACTGATAACAGCAAGGTCAAGGGTTCAGATCCTTGTACTGGCCTCTTGCCAATAACAAAAACAAATGTGTAATTAAAAAGTCTTATCTGTGTGGCTTACTGTACATTATTTATATTTAAGGTTCTTTAGTACTAGTAAAATATTCTAAATTAAAAGTGCTTACAATATATATATAAATTTCTTCAAAAGATGACCGGTAAGGGGATCTTAACCCTTGACTTGGTGTTGTCAGCACCACACTCAGCCAGTGAGCGAACCGGCCATCCCTATATGGGATCCGAACCCGTGGCCTTGGTGTTATCAGCACCGCACTCTCCCAAGTGAGCCACAGGCCGGCCCCAAAAGTGCTTACAATATTAAATCACTATAGAAATTTGGATGTGGTTAAACAAACTGGGAACAAGTTCATTGCAGTCATTAAACAACCCAATTATGTGAACAACTTTGGAGAGTACGTACAGTTCTTAAGCAAGGATTGAATTTAGCAGTCCTTAATGCTTTATGGTGTTATTTATTCTTACTAAGCACACTTGTAAACTGTATGGGCTATATTAAAATTAACACTTCAAAGACAAACAGGCCTTGCCTCTTTCACTTGGGCAACTTACTTAACCTTCTGAGCATTTGTTCTCTCATCTTTTAAGGAGGTACAACTTGCAGATGAGAAGAGAATGTAAATGAAGCATTCAGAATACTTACTAGTATTCATGAAATGTTTCAGTGTTACTTGAACTTAGTAACGCATTGAGTTCTGATTCTGGCTCTTTCATCTTTAAAAAGAATTGAATTCTATTTTCTTTTTTTTTTTTTTTTTTGTCTTTTGTCTTTTTTCCGTGTCCGGCAACGGATCGCAACCCTCAGTGTTGCCCCCGTACCGGACCGGGGACCGGCAACGGGATCGTAAGTCTCGGCGTTGCTCCCTCGCCTCGCTCAGCCAGTGAGCGGGAGCCGGTCCTCATGTGGGATCCGAACCCTCGGACGGGAGCGCCGCCGCGCTTCCCAAGCGGCGCACTATCCAGTGCGCCACCGGGCCGGCCCTTGAATTCTGTTTTCTAAGTTCCTCCTAGCTGCTTATCTTATTTTATTTTATTTTGTTTTATTTTTTGTCCTTTTTGAGACTGGCCGCACTGCGCTCAGCCAGTGAGCGCTGTGAGCGCACCGGTCATCCCTATATAGGATCCGAACCCGCAGCGGGAGCGCTGCTGCACTCCCAGTGCTGCACTCTCCCGAGTGCGCCACAGGCTCGGCCCATAGCTGCTTGTTTTATAAACTTAATACTATTTTAATTCTGAATGCTGTACAACTGTTGGGAAATTATTTGCTTTTTGTCTAATTTATCAAGACTTACTGCATGCTTAAAATGGAATTATGTTAAATCTTTTTACCAGAATAACTGGTGTGTGGGGGGGGATATTACCTTAATAAATTCAGAATACCATTATTTCTGTTGAGTGATGGATACTTGAAATCTGCTTGTGATCCTGGTCTGACCTTAAAACTGCTTTAGTTTTTGTGTTGGATTTCAGGTGATTTTTACCTATGGAGGCTGTAACTGAGACTGTTTTATAATTAAAGGGGAAAGAAAATAGCTTAGTTAAGTTTCTTACTTAAACTTCAGTTTATCCAGTAAATGTACTTTCTTAATTATCATTATGAGTCTGAACTGCAAAGGACCCTTTTTTTTTTTTTTTAAAGATGACCGGTAAGGGGATCTCAACCCTTGGCTTGGTGTTGTCAGCACCACGCTCAGCCAGTGAGCCAACCGGCCATCGCTATATAGGATCCAAACCCATGGCCTTGGTGTTATCAGCACCGCACTCTCCCGAGTGAGCCATGGGCCGGCCCCGGACCCTTTAATATAAAATAATTTTATTTGGAACTGCATGGATGTTGTAGGTGGGAGGTGGCATCCATGAAAACTAATCCAAATGTGGATCACAGGCCACAGAACATTTATTGTGCTACCCTTCTGGAACAGGATAAAAGGATGATCACTAAGGGACATCTGACTGGTCCCTCTTTGTTACCCTGGTTTTTAAAAAGGCATAAAAAACTACTGGCAATATAGAATGGTTACATTTGTAATGTTAGAAAACACTCTTTTTTTTGTCAAAAAAATTTTCCATAGAATTGATGAATTACTTTTGTATCTTTACTATGGAATTAAAACATTTTTTTTTTAAAAAAAAGATGACCAGTTCAGGGGATCTTAACCCTTGGCTTGGTGTTGTCAGCACCATGATCAGCCAGTGAGCTAACTGGCCATCCCTATCTAGGATCCGAACCTGTGGCCTTGGTGTTATCAGCACCACACTCTCCCAAGTGAGCCACAGGCCGGTCCCTCCAAGTTTTTTTTTAAAGATGACCGGTAAGGGGATCTCAACCCTTGGCTTGGTGTTGTCAGCACCA